TGTTGGAGAAGACTCTTGAGAGTCCCTTGGACTACAAGGAGATCAAACCAGTCAATCATAAAGATAATCAACCCTGAATATTCACTGGAAGGGCTGACAGTGAAGCTGATGTTCCAATATTTTGGCATCACCAACTCAATAGATATGAATTTGAGCAAATTCCAGGAAATAGTGAAGGACAGAAGATCCTGGTGTGCTGCAGTCCATGGGGTCATAAAGAGCTGGAAAAGACTTTGACTGGACAACAACTAGGAGTTTTATGACTTCAGATCTTTAATCAAGTATTTAACCCATTTTGAGTTAATTTTGTGTATGGTCTAAGTTACTGATCAACTTTTATTGCTTTGCATGCAACTTTCCAGTTTTCCCAATATCCCAATAATTTATTAGAGTCTGTCCTTTCCCCATGGTATAGTCTTGACTTTTTAAAAAATTAAAAAAAAAAAATGAACTCATTGACTATATATGCATGGGTTTATTTCTGCTCTGTTGTTCCATATGTATATTTTTATGCCAATGGCATACTGTTGGGATCACTACAGCTTTGCAATATAGTTTGAAATTAGGGTGCATGATGCCCCTAGCTTTGTTATTCTTTCTCAAGTCTGCTTTGGCTAATCAGCATTTTTTGTACTTCCTTACAAATTTTAGGAATGTTTGTTCTAGTTATGTGGAAAATGCTACTGGAATTTTGATAGGGATTGCATTGAATCTGTTGATTGCTTTAGTATTCTAGATATTTAAATGATATTAATTCTTCCAATTTCATCAGTATGGCATATCTTTTCATTTATTTACTGAACCTCTTACAGTTTTCAGAGATTTCTCACCTCTCTTGTCAGAAGTGAGCTGCTGTAGATCTATTCCTGGATTTTTTATATTGTTTCATTGATCAAAGTACCCATCCTTCCAAAATAGCCTTTAGTTTTGATCACTCTAGCTATAAAATAGTTTTAAATTTGGTTAGAGTGATCCCACATGTTTTTCTTCATTCAATTTGTTTTATCTATCTTAATTCATAAGCTTTTTCATAAATCTTTCAGAATAACTTTTCTACAACTATTAAAGATTTTGCTGGGATTTGGACTAAAATTGCATTAAACCAGGATGTCAACTTGGGAAAGAATTGACATCTTAATTATGTTCAGGTTTTCAGCTGATAGATATCATTATACTTTCCATTTATTTATAGCTTTGACTTCTTTCATCAGTCTTTCAGTGTACAAGTTCTTTACCTGTTCTGTTAGCTATACTTAAGTCTCTCTTTCTGGTCTTATTGTAAATATTATATTTTTAACTTTAATGTCTTCATTGCCATATATAGACATACATGCTGATGTCTAAAATTGATTTTGAAATCTGCACTTTTGATAAAATCCATTATTAGTTATATAGAATTTTTTATGAAGGGGAGGGCCTTCCTTGGGAATTTTTGTGTGGACCATTATATCAAATGAGTACAGGTATAATTTTACTTAGGGGTTTCCCTGGTGGCTCAGACAGTAAAGAATCTGCCTGGAGTGCAGGAGACGTGAGTTTGATCTCTGGGTTGGGAAGATCCCCTGGAGAAGGGCATGGCAATCCACTCCAGTATTCCTGCCTGTAGATTTTTCATGGACAGAGGAGCCTGGAAAGCTACAGTCTGTGGGGTTGCAAAGAGTTGGACACAACTGAGCGACTAACATGCACAGACACAGACAAACACACACACACACACAGAATTTATTTCCGATATGTATGTGTTCTGACCACTTCCTCTTCATTCTGTAGATGAAGGAGGGTCCCCTACCTTTAATAGTATGAGGTGGCTGAACATGCAACATCCAAATGGACAGATGAATTTGATAGCAGTTTATTATGTAGACTCACAACCTGAGGATACAACTCCCTCCATAGGGGCACATGGAGGCTGCACTCAGGAGCACAGTGAATACGTAGGGGCTATGGAAGACAACCTTTGTAGTAACAAGATAATGGGGCCCCCCTGGATTTTACGGAAGGATGTTTTTGGTTTGTCAGAATAGTTTCATCAGCTTATCGGGATGCGAAACCTTAGACTGAGAATCAAGGGCAGTTCAGCTGTTCGGGTTGACGGGAAGTAGCTGGGCAGAGAAACAAACCTGGTGAAAGCAGAGAAGGAACTCACGATCTGGGGCCCTTGAGGCTTGACGAGGTCTTGGCTGCAATTCAAATTTCAGATCTCACAATATAGCACACCACTGATTTCTTTTTCTTGTTTTATTACTCTGACTAGGACTTCCATTAATGTGTTAACTAAAGGAGGAGCAAGGCATGCGACCATGTGGATAGAATTATAAAATAGTTTTTAGAGATAGAATTATAAAATAGTTTTTAGAGATAGAATTATAAAACTGAATTCAATCTCTGTTCTTCATTTTTAAAAATTTTAAACCTTATATTAAGGAATGAGTATTCAAGAGGAATTTTCTCAATCTAAGAAGACTACTCTGCTGTACATATCAGACTCAATGGCGAAATATTTAAAATTTTCTTGTTGATATCTGGAATACTGGAGATGGTAGACAATCAAAAATGGAGAGAAAAAATAAAGCTATAAGTGTTTCAATGGAGGCAAAATTGTCATTATTTACTCTTAATTTAATCCTACACTTTGAAAATAAAAACAGTAGACAAATTAACAGATTTAATAGTACTGTTGGATAAAAGGCCAATATATAGAAAACCAACTCTATTATGCTCTACCTGAAATGAAGAAAGATCAAAACTGAGAAAATGATACCATTCAGAGTAGCAATCCCAAATATAAAATATCTAGGAATAAATCTAACAAAATATGAGTAAGACTTCTATACTGAAAACTACAAAACATCATTGGGAGAAGTCAGTGAACCCACGTAATTGATGACAACAAAGATCAGAGACGGTAAGGGTAAGTATTTTAAATGCTGCTGCTAAGATGACACCACCCTTATGGCAGAGAGTGAAGAGGAACTGAAAAGCCTCTTGATGAAAGTAAAAGAGGAGAGTGAAAAAGTTGTCTTAAAGCTTAACATTCAGAAAACTAAGATCATGGCATCTTGTCCCATCACCTCATGGGAAATAGATGGGGAGACAGTAGAAGCAGTGTCAGACTTTATTTTTTTGGGCTCCAAAATCACTGCGGATGGTGACTGCAGCCATGAAATTAAAAGACAGACAAGACTGAGCGACTGAACTGAACTGAACTGAACTGAAGTCACTTCAGTCGTGTCCGACTCTGTGTGACCCCATCCCTGGGATTCTCTAGGCAAGAACACTGGAGCGGGTTGCCATTTTCTTCTCCCATGCATAAAAGTGAAAAGTGAAAAGTGAAAGTGAAAGTGAAGTCGCTCAGCCATGTCTGACTCTTTGTGACCCCATGGACTGCAGCCTACCCGGCTTACCTCTAAATTAACCTATATTCAATTAAATTTTCATTGAAAATCAAGGTAAAGATTTTGTTTGCTTGATCGTTTCTTCTGCTTTTTTCTTAGGTCTGTGTGAGTGAAGGTGTGTTTATGTGCCGCTGTTGCTCAGACGCTCAGTCGTGTCCGACTCTTTGCGACCCCATGGACTGCAGCACTCCAGGCTTCCCTGTCCTTCACCATGTCCTGGAGCTTGCTCACACATGTTTCCCCATCTATTTGCCATGAAGTGATGGGACTGGATGTGTATGTGTGAAGATTGTAAAACTAAATTTAAAATTTCAACATAAATTTTATAGCCTAGATTCACCTAGAAAATGTTCAAAAGAACAAACCTGGAAGAAAATTAGTAAAACATAACAAAAGCCTTGTTAGATTATGTTGTGTTGTATGGGCTATGCTAATTGACACATTGTGTTATATTAACCAACATAGTGTGATGTTTGCTTGGGTGAAGATAAATAGGAAAACAGAAAAAAATAGAAATTCTAGAATGAGATCCTCTCTCAAATAAAATGCTCTTGTCTATGCTGGCACTGCAGAGCAATGGGAAGAAGATGGTCTTTTCAATAAACATAACTAGGTCGTTTGAACATCTCTTTGAGAAAACTTACCATGACACTTACTCTAATCACTGGGCTTCCCCCATGCCACTAGTGGTAAAGAACACGCCTACCAATGTAGGAGATGCAAGAGATGTGGGTTTGATCCTTGGGTAGGGAAGATTCCCTGGAGAAGGAAATGGCAAACCACTCCAGGATTCTTGCCTGGAGAATTCCATGGACAGAGGAGCCCTGGTGGGCTACAGTGCATAGGGTCGCAAAGAGTCAGACATGACTGAAGAGACTTATGCACACTCTAACCATTAATAAAATAAGTTCCAGACAGATTGAAACTGTTTTTGAAATGGAAGGGGGTCCTCGTCCCCTCCTCCCTCTGTCCTCAGCCTGCCATCTGCCTGTGGAAAAACTTTAGCCAAAGAACAAGTGTAATCAGAGAAGTGAGAACATGCAGAAACAAAGGGAAGCAGCCACCTCCCCTGACATCTGGACCGGCGCTGAGCTCAGACCATGAGAATGTGGTGGAGAGGACACCACACGTCTTCTGAGACTGCATCTGAAGAAGTCCGGGGGCTTTCACTTTCCTCTCGGAAGGGCTGAGCTACCAGGTGAGAACTAGTCTTCACTGCTGGTGGGACCACATGGGCCACGTTAGAGGCGCTGGATCTGCTGAGAGAGAGGCTGTCTCCACACCCCAGGGGAGCCGCAGGAGACCGCCTGCCCCAGCGGCCATCTGACTGCAGCCACATGAGGGACCTTCCGTGAGAACCACCTACTACGTTCAGTCAACTCTCAGGACTGTAAAAAAATCACTGAATGGCTGTAGTTTTAAAATAACTGATCAATTAATTTTTGGTTGCTCGGTCTTTGTCACTGTGTGCGGGCTTTCTCCAACTGCACGGAGCTGGGGCCACCCCCTAGCTGTGCGCGCAGGCTTCTCATTGTCCCGGCTTCTATTTCTGTGAAGCTCAGTCTCTACAGCACCGGCTCAGTACTTGTGGCACTGGGGCTTGGTTGCTCTGAGGCACGTCAAATCGTTCTGGAGCAGGGGTTGAACCCATGTGCTCTGCCATTGACTGACAAGTTCTTATTCACTGTACTATCAGGGAAATCCAATGGCTGTAGAAGTTTTGGGATAATTTTTTTGGAAGTAGCTGTGGAAATATTATTTTTATTTATTAAAAAAAAATTTTATTATGGAAATTTTCAAACATAACTGAAAATGGAAGGAGTAGTGTAAGGACTTTAACACAGAAGTAGGTCATGAAATATTGTGGTTTTCAATTTCCTCTAAAACGTCAAATCTACTGGCACAAAATTCTTTATATTCTGTTAGCATCTTTTTAATGTTTGTAGAATCTGTAGGAATGGCATCTTTTCATTATAGATGTTAATAATCTGCAAGTTGGATTTTTCTTCCTTGTCAGTCTTGCAGGTGGATTATAAAAAAAAAAAAAGATAGAAAACTTTAGCTTTGTGATTTTCTTTATTATACATCTGTTTTCTTTTAAAATTAACTGCAAATCCTTTATTGCTCTCAAACAGGAATCAATTTTTTTGTTTTTGTTTTTTTGGCTGCACCAGATGGCATGTAGGATCTTAGTTCCATGACCTGGGATTGAACCTGTGCCCCTGCATTGAAATCTTGGAGTCTTAACCACTGGACCACTCCTGAAGCCTCTATACATTTATTTTCCATTCTATTTATTCCCTCTCTTACCATCATCATTTCCTTTCTTCTACTTTTCTCAGTGTGTGTTACTCCAGTTTACACAGCATGTTTTGTTGAAGACACTATTCTTTCCCCATCAGATATTTTTGGCTCCCTTGTCAAATACTAGTTGACTGTACATCCAAGGGTTTAATTCTGGGCTCTCTATTCTATTTCAATGGTCTGTGTGTTCATTTTAATGTCAGGCTATACTGTTTTTATTACTATAACTTTTTGCTATAGTTTGAAATCAGGATACCTCTGGCTTTGTCCTTGCTCAGGGTTGCTTTGGGTATTCTGGGTCTTTTGTACTTTATGATTTTTTTTTCTTCTTTTTTGCTATCCAGGCTGGCTAGTCCTACTTTCATTCACTTAACACTTGGCATATTATCCCTTTGCACGGCTAAACTGCAATTCATCTGTTCTTTCTCTGAAAATTAAGACTGATTTTTTTCTCTTCAGTGACATTTTTAATATGTCATCTTGGGCACATATGTGAGAATTTATTTAGAATGTTTTTAACTAGGATGGAAATCTGGGATTATCTGACTATCCAAAGGGGTATACACCAGTATTTAATATATTTTATAATTTTTTTAACATACATAATATTTATAATCAAGACAAGTTTATAAGTTTCTCTCTTAGAATTTTGAAATAATTTTACTATTCCAAACCCTGGTGCAACAAACATTTGAGTAGAAGTCTCTTTAGGCTTATGTAGGATTGTTCCTTTAAGACAGATATTGTCTTAGTTCCTTCAGGCCCCCAGAACCAAACACTATAAGTGGGATAGGTTATAAATAACAGAATTTTATATCTCACAGCTCTGGAGGCTGTGAAATCTGAGTTCAGGGTGCCAGCAAGGTCAAATGCTGGTGAGAAACCTCTTCTGGGTTTGCAAACTGCCAGCATCTCACTTGCGGCCTCATATGGTGGAAAGGGAAGACCCTGGTCTCTTTGGTCCTTTATAAGGGCATTAACCTCATTCATAGGGGCTCCATCTTCAAGACCTAATCTTTCCCAAAGGCTCCACTTCCTAATACCATCACATTAGGGATCAGGTTTCAACAGACACATTTTGTAGAGGCACAAACATTCAGAACATAGATATATAGATGTGGAGTTTATTGTTGTTGTCAATCATGCAACATTTGCACTATTAATTTTAATGACTGTGTTAACTGCTCAGCTGTGTCTGACTTTTTGTGACCTCATGGACTGTAGGCTTGCCAAATCCCTCTGACCATGGAATTTTCCAGGCAAGAATTCTGAAGTAGGTTGCTATTCCCTTCTCCAGGGTATCTTCCCAACCCAGAGATTGAACCCAGGTCTCCTGCATTGCAGGCATATTCTTTACCATTTGAGCCACGGATACAACCAACTTCATGATGTTACTAATAATATTTGAGAGGATCCATCCTCACAGCATCTTCTAGATCCTTTATTTACAAAACCAGACTACTACACTTGCCAATTTGGGGGAGAAATGTTTCATCATATTGCTATCTGAATTTATGTCTTTTCTTTAAAAAAAAAAAAAAAGATTATTTTACCAAATCTCCTGAGGTGTAATTAGCTTACCACAATTTCATTCTTTCTACATGTAAAATTTAATGTTTTAGTAAATTATAGATTTTTTCTTGTTTTAAATTTATTTTTTATTGAGGTAACATTAATTTAGGAGGATAAGGGGATGACAGAGGATGAGATGGTTGGATGGCATCACCGACTCTATGGACATGAGTTTGAGTAAGCTCTGGGAGTTGGTGATGGACAGGGAAGCCTGGCGTGCTGCAGTCCATGGGATCACAAAGAGTTGGACATGACTGAACAACTGAACTGAAAGGGACATTAATTTATAACACTATATAAGTTTTACACTAAAATCTTAAATTTTTACTTTTGTGTATACTAGAGCATGCCAGAAATTTAGTTTCCATTCACCTTCATACACTTGATCCCCTTTACCCATTTCACCCTCCTCCCACTTCTGGATACTTATGCAAAGACTATGAAACACTTATCTCAAAAAACACTGTATCCACATGTTTATCATAGTGATATTTGCAATAGCCAAGATAGGGAAATAACCTAAGTGTCCACCAACAGATGAATGGATTAAAACAAGATGTGGTGTGTGGTGTATATATATATATACCATACATATCATACTATATCAGTCATAAAAAAGGTGAAGTCTTGCCATTTGCAGCCACATGGATGGACATTGAGGGTATGATGCCAAGTAAAATAAGTCAGATGGAGAAAGATATATATCATATGGCTTTACTCATATGTGGAATGCAAAAACAAGCAAAACAAAATAAATAAACAAAACATATCAAACAAAAATAAATGCTTAGATACAAAGAACAGAGGAGTGGTTACCAGTGGTGTGTTTTGATTGGCTAATTCAACTTAATTACATTGAGGGTGAATATTGATAGATGAGGACACAGTACTGTTATTTTATCTTTTGCTTTCTGGATGTTTTCTAATCTCTATTGCTTCCCCTTTCCTTGTGTTTCTATCTGCCATTTTAATTTGGTGGCTTTATAGAATGTCTTCTTCAGTTCCCTCTTTTTTAATGTTTCATATCTCTGCTCTAGATTTATGTTTTGTGGCTACCATGAAGTTCGTATAAAACATATGGTAGATAAAATAGTCTTTTTTCATGCTGATAGCATCTTATCTTCATTTACCTATTTGTCTTCTGTACTTTTTCTCTTCCCTTTTTGTAATTTTTGTTGTCTCCAAAGAGCCCCTTTTGTGTTGTGTTTGTTCCCAAGTTGAAGTAGCTACAGTTATTTTTCTGCCTTTCCCCTCTTTAGTCTTTATGCTATGAGAAAACTGTGAAAACACTGTTCTGATTACAGAGTTGCAATTTCCTGCTTCTATGTATCACCTTACTCAAATTTGTTGCTTTTCGAAAGTAGCTCTTTGGCTCCATCCCTGTTTGCCCACTTCTGTTCCTCTCTAACCTTAAAGGAACTTAATTAGAGGAATGAGATCAGGGAGCAGTTGAAACTGACTTCAGACTTAGGCTGTCATGAACACACACCATGCCTTGTCTAACCTGTACGAAGATTCCACTCTCTTGTATTTCAAAAAATACATATAAAGAAATGTGGATGGAAGGAGGCAGCAGGGGTAGAAAACAAAGAGGACCAGGAAAGAATGAAGATAAGGCACTGGGGTCAATCCTGGGGACTTCTGGGTGCAGGGTAGGGCTGAAGAAACCACCCAGGACTTTTTCTGAAGAGTCATTCAACCCAGAGCAAAGATCCTGGGAAAGCACTCTCGTTGTGAGGAGTGAGCGCTGTATAGCAGAAGGCAAAAAAACCACTGCAAATCAACTATATCTCAATAAAACTAACAAATAAAGACTGCCAGGTCAGCAGCCACCAGAGGGGCATCTCTTCAATTAAAAACTCTAGAAGGAATAAAATAAGGGGCCCACGGTCTGAAGTAGGAAACCTTTGCAAGCTGCGAAGAAGCTGGGACAGAAGGTTCTCGCCCGAGTGTCACGGTCTCTGCTCCAGCTCAGGAGACCTGCAGGAGCAGAGGAGAGGGCTGTTTCCACACTGACCTCTTCTCGCTGCTTCTTCCCCCTTTCTGGGGCCTCCCCTGAGAGCTCTGCAGTAAGAAGGCAGAATCAGTCTTAAGCCTCCCTGAGCCACAGCTACCTCGGGCCATGGGCCTCTTATTTTATTATTTTTAGAATTTTTAATTGAAGAGATGCCCCTTTGGTGGCTGCTGGCCTGGCAGTCTTTATTTGTTAATTTGATTGAAATACAGTTGATTTACAGTGCTGTTTTCATTTCTGTTGTACAGCAAAGTGACCCAGGTATACACATATATACAGTTAAATTTTACTTTTCATTTATTTATGGTTGCACTGGATCTTTGTTGCGGGGCATGGGCTTTCTCTAGCTGTGGCTGGTGGGCTTCACACTGCAGTGGTTTCTCCTGTTGCAGAGCACAGGCTTGAAGGTACATGGACACAGTAGCTGTGGCATGCAGGCTTATTAGCCCTGTGGCATGTGGGATCTTAGTTCCCCAACCCCGGATTGAACCTGTGTCCCCTGCATCGGGAGGTGGATTCTTAACCACTGGAGCAGCAGGGAAGACCCCACATACATACATTTTTTTTTTCCATTTATTTTTATTTTTTATTTATGTATTTATTTTTCATTTATTTTTATTAGTTGGAGGCTAATTACTTTACATCATTGCAGTGGTTTTTGTCATACATTGAAATGAATCAGCCATGGATTTACATGTATTCCCCATCCCGATTCCCCCTCCCACCTCCCTCTCCACCCGATTCCTCTGGGTCTTCCCAGTGCACCAGGCCCGAGCACTTGTCTCATGCATCCAACCTGGGCTGGTGATCTGTTTCACCCTAGATAATATACATGTTTCGATGCTGTTCTCTTGAAACATCCCACCCTCGCCTTCTCCCA